TATTTAATATATTATTATTTTAAATATTATTACATGTTTTTAAAAATTAAACCACCAAACGCAGATTTAATTTTTTTAAAAACTGAAATTAATCTCTGAATAAAACTATCAAACGCATTTTTAAAAATAATTTTAAAATAAAAATGAAAACATTTTCATTTTTATTTTTATATAAAAAATAAAATTATTTTAAAATTAATTTAAACGCACCTTAAAGGCTTCTTGGTTTGCTCTGCATGTACTGTTTTTTTTTTTTTTTTTTAGGATCAGCTCGTGTTGCAATAAACTCTTTCGTACTTTTCCTTTTTTCAGTACAAAAAATAGCTTTAATTAGACGGTGCAATCAAAATTAATTTTCGTGTTCTAATTTCATTAAAATGTATTTTTATCTTTGAAAACTCTGTCAAATTTACGGGATGTCTATAAACCCACGCTTTTTGAAATTCAACCAATTCCACGAAAGATGCTGAACTTTCGTTTTAGATGAGGTGACATATTATAACATTTAGGGCCCGTTTAAGATGAGGTGACATATTATAATGTTTAGATCTCGTTTAGTTCGTTGATTTAAATTTTTAATTTAAGTTAAGATGTAATATTATATAAGAATTTTTTACTGTAATAAAAAAATTAAATGTGACTGCTTTTTAGAACTTGTTACTGTAAAAAAACTTAAATTTTAAATTCAAATTAGTGAAATGAACAGGAGGGCATCTAAGAGCATTGATAATTTAAGTAACTGGCAACCCGTTTTCATTAGTAATTGAAATAAAATAATACAGGGTGAGAATGATAAATAAATAAATAAGAAAGGAGAAGGAAAAGGTAGGTAGATCTTCTGATTTCAAACAATTCAATTGAGGATGAAGGTGGCTTAAGACGGATTTTAGGTGAGGAAGCTCGTTTGTCGACGATGTCTGAATCTGAATGGCTATCCCTTTATAGAGTAGTGTGATTAAAAGAAATGAAGCAATGGGTATGTTAATTAATGTTTGTTTCTCAAGCTTTTTGTCATTCGTGTATTATAAATAACGAAAATCTCATTATGAATAAACTAATAGCAAAGTATTATGTATTAACTAATTGGAAAAAGAAACATGTACATCAATACCAAGTTTAATATAATCTGACTAGTATGGTATTGTGCCTGAAGCTCTTTGTTCTTTAGTTTTTTTTTTTTTTTTTTTTTTTTTTTTTTTTTTTTTTTTGAAAAAAATGAAAGAGAATGGTTTATGTTAAGAATCTTAACGAGGAGAAAATTAGTGAAAACAATATATTAATGAGGAAAATTTAGAAATCACAATTGTTTCTTAGAAAAACAAAAGGAAAGAAGCAAGTTAGAAGTTGAACTGATAAAATATCAAAACATGAAAAATGGACAAATTTAACCAAAAAAAATATTTTAGTGGGCAATTAATCAAAAAAATTTATTAGAATCATATTTGACAATATATCATTTTAGAGGATGGAGTGAAAAAATATTTAAATTGAGACATGTTTGAAAAAAAAAGGTATTTTAATAGGCAAGTAGAGACAAATTTTTTTTAATATAAGAAAGCAGGCAAAGTCTTTAAACCGACACTTACTATTAAACCATTTTCATAATGCATGACATTGGCTTGATTTTCATTTGAATAAGTTCCTTCACTTGTTTGGACATTAACATCAGCTAAGAAAATGACTAATAAAGCATCGTAATATGCTGGATAATGTTGAAGTGTTAAAACAAATAAAAATGTTATTTCATTAGGAATGCTTAGTAAAGACAAAACATATACGTCTTACGTATATAGCTGGATATATGTTATTTGCCTTTCAAAGGAGAAGCGTCCTACTTTTGGATGTAGTAAGTATGTGAATCGGATTGTTGTCTGAAGGAGATAGTAAATCCCTCATGTTCGGTATTCATGTGAGGGTGGTAGCACTGTTGGGAGGAGCATATATTTTCCAAAGACATTTGTGTCGGATGATTTCATCAATAGACTCTTGTTGGCTCGCAAGAGATGGCTCCCTTTCCATCAAGCTCTTAACTTTTAAACAAAAATTTGCAAGTTCTGTTCTTGTTTGTTGGTAGAAATCATCCACTTTCGTTGCATAGTATGCTACTTGGTTGAAGTCGGAACTGACGGTTCTGAACCTAGTTAGTTCCAATATCTCCTGTGGGACCTCGTTATTAGTTTGATATCGGGTTTGGAATTGGGCCTTTGCATGAACAGTCCACCTGGACATAACAAACGAATCTGGAATTCTTGTTATGTTTAGAAACTTCAGAACTGAAAATATGTGTCTGCACAAATATCCATTAGTCTCGAAGAGTAAGCAATT